CAAATGCATCTGGAGATCTGGGAGGCTTCTTGCTGTCTGCTGACATTCAAATAATGGAGGTCTATGGCGCCCGAGACAGAAAGGTCCATAAAAGTCCACAAAAACGTGTCAATATTCCTCCATACTGCTCGTCCAATGTATTCCAAGTGTCCTGAGTGGGTAGCATCCAGAATTTACTCGAAACGAAGTCATTTAGAACGTTTTAGAGCATAAACAGTAGTGTATAGGATTTCCTAATAGCGCCCCCATGCGCGCTCACGATTCTACGGAAGCCGGCAGACCAAACCAGCGCATTCAGCTCGGCAAAGAACTCATGCTCTTCCTCAACCCTGAAGTCCTCAGACATTTTTCTTTCGTTGTTTCTTTCTTTGCACAGGTAAACAGCACATTTCTTCTTCTACGCTTGCATTATCGGCAGAGCAGACGCTGAATGCGCACTTTCTTCCGGTTTGGTCTGCCGGCTTCCGTAGAATCGTGAGCGCGCATGGGGGCGCTATTAGGAAATCCTATACACTACTGTTTAGGCTCTAAAACGTTCTAAATGACTTCGTTTCGAGTAAATTCTGGATGCTACCCACTCAGGACACTTGGAATACATTGGACGAGCAGTATGGAGGAATATTGACACGTTTTTGTGGACTTTTATGGACCTTTCTGTCTCGGTCACCATAGACCTCCATTATTTGAATGTCAGCAGACAGCAAGAAGCCTCCCAGATCTCCAGATGCATTTGAGATATCAAAAAAGTACTCCAGAGTGTTGTTCAGCATGGGGGTGAGTAGAAAATGAAGGCTAATCATGTTTTGGGTGTACTATTCCTTTAATAGATTAATTGCCAAAAGATTTTCCAAAGTAAAATCAAAGAAGTGGCCTACCATGACTGTAAAGCTGATCCCAGTGGGACGTTTTTCCTCTGCATTTGTCCCTAACTATGTAGGGGCAGTGATAGCCATGCCAGTCCAGGGACTGACTGCAGTTCTACTGAAAGTTTCCTTGGTCAAAGTCAATGAACAGCGTACCTGGCATTTAACAACCATACCATGCATAGTGCTTTAGATTAATAGACTATATTAATTAGGCTATGTATACTTCTAAAAAAAAAAAAAAGAATTCCACCATCCCCCCTTCCATTTTTTACAACTCGACTACTGCCATCATAAACTCTTTTCTATATTTTGGTCAACTGAAAGTTTTGCAACAGCTATGCCAATTCTTAACATTTCAACCAGTGACTTTACACATAGCTCCTCATCCAATACCGTATTCTTCAACATTTCAGTCACTATCCTACTAGATTAACCAAATAAGATTCCAGTTTCACTATACAATTTTTTTCTGCTGATTTTGCTAATTTATTAGATCTCAGCAGGGTTTTTGTTGTCAACTTTGGATAGATTCTTCCATCTGTCAGGACAGGCATTAAGAGTTTTCTTCTTCTTACTAATTAATGACATTTCAGCCATGTTTCTTTTGGTAATTTCAGAAATTAAGCATTTAAGTTGTCTGCAATTTCATACAATTTCAAACATTTAAATTTCTCTTTGGTTCTGCCATTTTCAGATAACAGCTTTGCATACAGCATTTACATTTGCATTTTTTGCAGGAAATGCAACCTTTTCTGGTTAAGTTGTAAGATATGAAAAAGGTTCAAGATATTAATCACTAACTGTGTGGTTCAAATTCTGCTTAATAATTCATGCTACCCAGTATATTTTGAACTTGTTTGGAATTACTTCCTGATGAGTAAAATTCAACTCCATCTGTTAGGCTTTAATTTTACAACATTACCCACTTTTATATCCCTTATCAACAGCTATGCATTGCTGCATTTTAATTGCATCTGCTTGTCACAAAAACATGTAAAAAATTAATGGACCAACGTTTCCTTGAATAGTATTCTGATAGTTTTGACCTGGCAAGGTCCTCTGAGAGACGTGTGCTTACCATATGCCATTGACCTCAATAGATTTATACTTTGAGGAAAACAATTAAAGAGCATTTTGTGTCAAAGTTAAAACTTTATCACTAGTCACCAATCAATTGTCATCCAGATTTAATAACTCAGTAATATTTTTTTAAATGGTATGGCCCAAAGTAAACAACCTTAAAATATATCCAGCTTTTTAGGTCTGTAAAACATGCCGTAGTCTACCTAACCTATTGAAATAATCAAGATGTATGGTTGCTAAAGCATAAAATATTCCATCCCACATGAGGATTTTACCAAGTCGAAGCATGAGTTGGCACATTACACTCAACTGTGGAAATGAGGTGAGATGTGAAAATGCCTCAGTGATTAGTATTGTAAATCATTCTATTTAGTGTCTATTTTAGAGCTGCTTCAAACTAACCACTGTTAAATAACTGAATTATGAACTGCAGCTGTTATCACCAGGATGCTGAATAAAATATTCAGTTAGGGGAGTGCTACAGACAACATGTCAGACGGCGGCACATGTTTTGAAAAAAAAAACATCCAAATAATTAACAGTAAAGTTTCATGTTTGTCCCAAAAACAAAACTACTTCCTGGTTATTTCAGAGCCCGAAATAAAATTGATAAAAATTTGCTTACTAACGCTTCATCAATTCTGAATTGTTAGGAAAAGGATCAATTGGACAAAAGGAACAACTCTCCATAAGTTTATATTATTTAATGAAACAAATTGAGATACAAAAAAAAAACTGTTGTTTCCCATTATTCATTTTTTGTTTCAATTCGAAAAACATAAAAAATAAAAAAAAATAAATTAAGAAGCCTTACCATCACACAAATATTAGTTTAGTTTAGTAATATGCGCTGTGTGGCCACCTTTTCTAATTCTGTAAAGGCTAGTCATTAAAAATAATGGCATAAGAAATCTGTTGCTAAGATTTGTGTTTTTCTTTGATAAGGTTTACCTCTCTCTCTCTGTGGGTTGTTTGAGGCTTAGCAAATGCATGTTATTTCAAAAATAATTTGAAAAAATTAAACACTGAGAAAAGGATAAGGGACGTATAATCTGCCCAGAGACAACATCTTTACGACACACAAATGGATCGTTGATGCCTTTAATCAAAACTGAATTTTACAAGGACTCTGAGAGAGTCACTCTGGTAATCATACTCCTCTATTAGACTCCATTGGTGTTTATGTGTGAAGGCTGAGGCTTATTATGGATCCAGCTTGTATATGTGAGAGCAATTTGGTGCTGACACCCTCATATTTCCTTTCACACTGTCTTACATCCAAGGCAAACATGGGATAGATAGTGAAAAGCTTTTGTTTGTGGAGAACATGTTGTGAATTAAATTTCCATCTTTTGTGTGACCATCAGCTTTCCTCTGTTTTCAAATAAGAGAGGAAAAATTTAGTGGATTTAAAGAGTATTAAAACAAAAAAAATAAATATAATGTCCTTAACATCAATTATGTACCGTGAATTTTACTAAGGCATTAATCTCCTGGTGCTCATCAATGCCAACACTAACAAACTAATTATTATTATTATTATTATTATTATTATTATTATTATTATTATTATATTAAAAACCTAAAGTGTGCTTTGTATGGATTTACACCTTCAAACATTTTGGAGAAATCAGCTCCCAGTATTTGTAAACAGCACTTTTACAGTCCTGCCATAAAATCTGAATTGGATTTAGGTCTCCACTCTCTTACATGATTATTACACATGAATATGCATTGATCTAAACCATCTATTGTTTGTTCTGCTGTATGGCGAGAGTTGCTTGTTTGTTAGACATTAAACTTGTTTTCATTTCTTCTCTTCTTTTTCTTTGGACATGTTTTTTTTTTCTTTTTTTTTTTACAAATATGTCTTTATATGACGTAAAACTGGTTCTAATGTTTCTTTAAAGAGCTAAAAAAAGGTGTTTAATGATCAATACTTTGAGTTTATCTTCAGGTGGCATTTTATATTTTTAAGGGTTTCTGTTAAGCATCCTCATAGTTTTTTTTTTATTATTTTATTCTGTTCTTTGTGTGCCTTCTGATCCTATTGTCTCAGCAAAATTTTTATATGGTGAAATAATGACAAAAATACTGATCGTTATTTCTAAGAGCTGAGACCAGGGAATCCTTCCTGCAACAGATCATATAAAAAGTAATTAAACGTGTAGAAAGCTATAGCTATAGCTTATAAATAAGGAAGGATCAACAGTATATATAGTATAACATGGAATCCTGAGTATAAAACAGATTTACACATTCTTTGCTTTCTGCTCTACATTCTCCCATTGCCTTAATAAAGCACCTATTAAGAGGCATCAGATATTATGACATGAATAATTATTCCTCTGGATTTATAAAAAAAAATGCATCATAACTATCCTGACATCACCATCTGGCACTATCAACGATATAGGGGAACTTTTCTTAAACATTTTATACCTTTAAAAGTTCTAACAGAGCTGTCAACATCTACTATCTCAGATTGGAAAAAAGGTCTTTTGGGAAATTTTCTCTGCACCAATACTAAGTGTCTTCACATCAGTGGCTGTCGATAACTCTCAGCAGCTGTAAGTGATATAGTCATCAGCTATCATGAAGGCAAGGAAGAACAGCAGGTGGCCCTGGATGAGTAAAATTCCTGACACCCTGCATATCACTCATCACTTTTATATGGACATTAAAGGCAACTACCATGGCCACTGGGGATAATCACAGCCACCTCTGTGTCTTGGTTAAATGACACCCTGGAGAAAGACATAATCCTCTCCAGCTACTATGTCCATAAAATCAAAAACCCAACCCAACTTCACCATTATCCTTGTTCTTGTCCTATTTTCCACTCTGATTACTCCTTTGACTGTATGATGTATATTCATGTGAAGACCCTCCATTTGCACAGCTTAGCAAGAAAAATAATACATGGTTTGGAGAGGCCATTACTCCCCAGACACATGGCCTCCAGCTTATTAATAACAGTTAGAAAAGCCCTATGGCAGCAATGACTGAGGACTTGAAATATACTGCACATTTAGAGCTGAGATTTTGTACCTGCCGATGAATGAAGACAACCGAGCCCAGGAGACGCCAGGTTCCTCCTTGCCTGTCAACATGCAGCATTCGCAGGATCTGCAGGAAGCGAATCCCTCTGGAAAAGTTGAACTTTTTTTTTAGCTGCTGACAACATATTTGTAACAAATGCAGGCTAGATTTACCACTGCAGACAAAAACACTGACATAATGATCAATAATATGTATATATTAAATATATCACCTAAATTCGAGGTTAGAGTCGTGTGGAAGACATCTGTGACTTTAACCAGTAAGTCTAAAGAGACTTTAGTAAATCATCCACTTCTTTAAATGTTTTCTCACAAAGTTACAAACTGCAAAACCAATCAAATTTATTAGCTTTATATATCCTAGAACAACACAAATTAAATTGTAAACTGCACAGAAAATGAACTTTGATACTTATTTTTTTTTCAACCATACAAGTCTAGAAAGTGTGGAGTCTAAATGTATTCAGTTAGCAGACAGATCAGAGATCAAGTTCTGAAGATTTGTAAAGCAGGGTTAGGTCATGAAATATGTAGCACAATGTAGCAATGTTCAAGTTATCAAAAGGAAATAGAAAGAGCCTTTCACAATTTCAAACCTACCATGATATCAGTCATCGAATTTCCCAGAAAGGCTTAGCAAGACGCGAGTTTTTATATAATTGTTGAAAGAAAGACAAAATAACCCCTATATGCAACTTAAAACCACAAATGGAGGAGATACAGCAAACCATGTGAAAGAACACAAAACTGCTATCCAGATCTCTCGTTATGTAAACAATGTTGTCCTTTTCCCTTCACACTGCAAATACATCTTACTTAGTGTTGATCTGTGGCATAAAATAAAAGCAATGAGCATGAATAGTATTGCAAGCTATGTCTGGACAAGCAATATGGCTAAAGTATTCATAAATGCCACATGAAATAACTGGTTAAAGAAATGCTCCACAGAGTTTAAGATGGGTGTCCTGAGGTGCAACTCTAAAGTGAGACCTAGAATTGATAGTATTCACTTTACATATATTTTCAACTTGAAAGCACAAAATATCTTACCTTACAGCAGAAGTGGCAAAAACTTGGCCTTTGGAGCCCACTGACAACACAACTATTGAAGCAACAACCACTATCAGATCTGTGGTAATGAAAAAAAAATGAGTATCTGTATAAATGTTGCTTAATTACGACATTTGTATTATTTTAGGGCAAAAGAAAGTTGTTGTTTTGTTGCTTTTTTAATTAAAAAATGAGCTACATTAGTTTAATTTGATAAGAAGGTGCAATAATAAAAAATATATTCACAGTGGCATACTTAAGAATGAGCACCTAGAGGCACAAATCGTAAGAATGAAATCTAAAAGAATAAAAATTCTGATGTGACAGTTTTAATTTCATGCTGAATTTGTCTCAACTATCTCATTTTGGGAAGAGGCTGGGGATACATTGCTGGTTATTGTTTAAAAATTGTAAGAGTGGGTGGCGAATGACATGTCTGCTTGTGTGCATGGGTAGAGATATAGTAGTGTGCGGGGATTGTGTTTCCACCTATAATAGATATTGGCTTCCTGGCAAAGCGTAGTCTGCCCCAGATGCCAACATATTTACTGCGGCAGCCTGCGGACCAAACACGGACAAAATACTCCACGCCGAAGAACACCACAAGGACGATCTCCTGTTAGACAAATGAGGCAGAGGGACAGAAAAACAAACATCAGATGTTGTTGCAGGTTATTCTGTTCAGCAGCAGCTGAACAGCTGTTCAGATTTGTACCTATGGTGCTTTTAAAACAAATACAGTTAAATTATAAATGTGAGTGTTCTGTAGAGCTTTTCAAACTATGTTAATCATGCAAACACAATTAATTAAAACATTTTATTCTCACTCAGAAGAGACACCATTTTTTGGTGCTACAAGTGTGCCATGTCATTGATGTGTTCTTTGATTCAGCTGTGGAGCACTTGGGCCTGATTAATATGGGACTAAAGGATGCAAGTTGATTTTATCTGCATTGTGCTCATTCTAACTAAGGGTTCTTCAGAATGTTTCTCATCAGGTTTTCCAAAAGCAACAATCTTAGAAAAAAAAAAAGAAAAGTTTTTACTGTTAGCATTGTTGTTTGTTTTTTTAATCTCATGTCAAAGAGTCATTGATTTTCTAAAACATGGATGTAGCAACAAAACATAACCAGATCAAGCGTACCTGAGTGAATAAACACTTTGCATATGATTAACAATGCAAATCTGGTACCACATTATACAGTAGCTGTCAGTTGATTACTCTGGAATCTATATGTGCTGGTTAGGGCTCACTGCTCAATATGTATTTATTGCTTTGTTTTTAAAGTAAAGTCTGAATAAAGTACTGTCTCAACACCATGAAAATAATTATCAAATGATTTCATTCATTACATGTTGCTGCACAATTCATGGTTAAAAACTAGCTAGAAATTACCTCATTTTTAAAAGCTAATGAATGTCAATGGATGTTTCTCATTTGTTCTTTTTCTTGTAAAAAAATATGGTGACAAGCTTTGACAAAGGGGTGGGGGTGGGGGGGGTCTCCATTAGTCTATGACAAAGATGGGGTACATACTGGACAGATCACCAGCCTATCACAGTTTGTATTCAATTAATTTAGTGCTTTTTCAGGCAGACTGAATTTACTATTGAGGCAAATAAATACATCCAATCACACTTAAAAACAGACAGACATACACAGATTTGCAGGTAACTCAAACAGGGGAACATCAATACCCGCAAGTCTTTGATTCTCAGATGACTACTGAGCCACAATCATCCCAAAAGGGCAGCTTTATTACATTAGAATTTTCAATTTTTGTTTTCATTTTTTATTATTTTTTGTTTATTTAGATATGAATGATTTTTTTTTATCAGTAAATCAAACTAGAGACTAACCCTCATGCATAAAACACAGAAAACATATATATTTTCTATATATGTATATATGTCATTAACAAATAAAATATTTTAGTGGCTTAGCAATGCTTCTAAGATAAAAACAGGACTGTAGCAGCAGAAGTTGAAAAAGGAAAGATTTTGAATAAGAACTTGGCAACATTTGACTGTATGTGAACACAGAGGCTTTTGTTTGGCACAAAAGATTAAATAAGCTATATGGGTCAGAAATTATTATCGGCTACAGCTAAAATAATACATAAAAACAGAAATCTTGCATACTTTTTTAAGCTGACATAAAAGAACTTTATATATTCCCATTTCTTAGCACAGCAGGGTGCAACTTTGCATGACACACTTAATGTTGATGGTTTCTGTTGCTAAAAAAGAAGGTTATAGACACCCCTCTCTTAAATAAAGAAACCCTATCTGTATACATGCACACTGAATACTTGGAAAGTCAAATTTCTGTGCATTATCAAACTAAACAGAATCAAGAATTTGTTCATTATAAACATGCATAGTAAACATGTGTCACAGAAACAAATCTGAGTCAAGCTTACTAATACACAGAACAAATCCCCTTTATCCCTAAAGAGTCCAGACCATTCAAAGTATGAACTTTACTCGAAATCTGAATTTTTTTGATATCTGGCATCAAGATAAGGATCCAGCAGTAGATAATCTAACAACTTTTAGATTTAAATCGGGGGGTTTATAGATCAGAGTTGTTTGTGCCTTGCATCCCAAAGATACTGGACCATATTGAAATCTGTGGAATAGGGAGGCCATATTAACATTTTGTTTCTATTGAAATTGAGGGTTTAAATCATGGTTGCTTCTGGAGACGCATCTAGAGTAAAAACTTTGCAAAAGTCTATGGCGACCACTGAATATGGGAGTTGCAAAAAGGAAAGACACCCGCTTCCTATAGTTTTAGGAAATAAGTGAGTGCTTTAGGGAATAATTGGCTAATTAGTCATATATTAAATACACACAAGTTTTATAGTTGTGCCTTTTTTGTGGTGTTCTTTTATATGTTTTGCCGGGTCTGTCCCAACCACTGCCAGCAGGCAAATCGGGGATCATTGAAGCTTGCCAGCACAGTAGACAAAAGTTGCAAAATTGCCTCAGTGTCTCTATTAACATGAAGAAATTGTATACATACGTATATATATATATATATATATATATATATATATATATATATATATATATATAGTTTATACAGTATATTGGCAATTTTAAAGGTTGTTGTGAAGGAAATGAAGTAGTTCTTAGCCTTTAAGGTACAGATTATAGTGAAAAAATATGATATTTAATAATAACAGTAACAACAATAATAATTCAACTTTACTGATATACTTATCTCTAAACAGCTGTATTTACCCCCTGTAACTCCGTATAACATCTGCTGGGCTACTGCTGTTACGATGAGTTGATGGAGCTAAGGGGCGCAATTGGATTTGCACATGGTTTGTATCAATTTTCTGCTTGCTATCACATCTACACTTATTTTTACACATGCAAATGATCTTACGATCAGACCTATTGTTGTCTCTAAGATATTAGCTACAGTGAAATTTGTATTGCTGGAAACATTGTTCATTAGCTTGTTTTTCAGAAGAAAATCAATTACTGTTTGTCGGTAACTGAAAATCTTTATGCTTTCTGTTTTGCAGTCCAACGTCTGATATTAGTTTGTTTATACTAATAAAACTGTTCTTTCAAGGGCAACAGTCTTTGAACAAATTTTGCGAAAGAAAGAACAAGTTGATGCAAACTGGCAATGGTTGCATGACTTTTATGAGCATAACTACAACAAAAAGACAGTTAAAAGGCAAAATAAGCCATCAACACCTTTTATAGCAGGTAATGTACTAATTAGACTCAAAGGGGTATTTCCACAGTATTTATTAGTAGTATAGACATAATTTATTTTAATATTAATGTATTATTCTAAACAAATACATGTTCTTTTAGAATTACTATGCCCCCAAAGAAGATACATGTTAATGACCCTTTGCTAAATTAATTTTTACCCAGATATGTAATAATATTAATGTAGAAGAAGCTGAAAGAAAGTAAATCAGATTTTTTTATGATGACACTATTTCCGGAGTGAATTTTTAAAGAAAAACACTAGGGGGTCCTGAAAAATGATGTTTTCCATGATTAACTGCAGACTGTTTTTCGTTGTATTCTCTTCATCAGTGGCAATGAATATAAAATAGCACTGTTTGAAAAGAAAATTGGTTTAATACTATGTTAAATTGTATTCCTCAAAGCTAATGTTAAGCCAAATGTTTAATTTCCTAATTTATTCACAAGAGGATTTTACTTCAGGGTTGAAAAACAGGCTGTCTTTCGCTGTCTTTCCAGAAAAGTTATACATTTACCAAGAGACAGGGATAAATAAAAAGGGCATCAGCCATTTTTACACATGCAGCAAAGCCTTGGAATTTGTTGGGTATTACCCAAAGGAAGCCTATCTGTAATCACAAAAAGCCAAATTAAGCAGAACAAACAACTAATTTGTAGCTGTAACTCCTCAAGGCCTAAATTTTGTTAGATCTCACCCAAACTGTAAATCTGTAAATATCTAAGTGCATTCAGATTGTTTTGAAGTTTGTTTCATCCATTACATTTTATCATGTGTCTCAATAGAAACACTAAAATGGACTACTCTATTGCCTAGTACGGTATATCAATGTATTATTGTTCATTGCAAAAAACAAAGTAGAACTGTGCTGTGGAAAGACCATGCTTTCCAAAATCATAAATTGTAAGGATGTAGATATAAAATTGCTCTGTTAAAATAAAACCTTAAAACTTAAAACAGGGACAAAAGATGAAAAATAGCCTTTTGGCTAATTGTGGTGCATTTGAAGGAATGCTTAAAAAAAAACTCCAGTTTGGGCAGTCCCCTACTATTACTTTATCATTATGATGTGTCACCTGTGGTACCAGGAATGATATATAGTATAAAAAAAATTTAAAATCGTATCCGACCGACTGAATTTCAGTTCACATGGTGTTTAAATATGTTAATTATTTCAGTCCACAATGGAATCCAACAGAATCCAAAGACAGGTCAGGCAAACAGATCAAAACAGGGACAGGCGAGCTCAAAGGTCGAATACAGAAATGGGTCAGGATCAGGCAACTAATCTGATCTACATGTCGCTCATATCAAACCAGCACTCCAAAAAAGATCTCATATCCTGTCAATTGAGTTGTTTTTAAAGGAATAGTACACCCACTCAGGACACTTGGAATACATTGGACGAGCAGTATGGA